CAATAAATCGGAGTTTCAATTTTCCTTGAAAAGTTTTAATTTGCAGAGATATATTTCTGTGAAAATGATTTTAACTTGGAAAGATTTTGACTGCTTGTTACAGGCGATGAGCTTGTTTAAAACTCGTATATTAGATGGAGTTTGATATGTACAATGAGATATTGAACTTTCATATTAGATATTGCTTCTGAAAGTTCGCTTTGTCTGTGCCTCCATTGTTTCAAGACCCTTACACCTACGCGCTCTCATTGTACACACACAGCACATAGGTAGTCTTCAAAACGATCGTGTTGCGCAAATGAAGATTTTGAACATAAGTTACGAGCATATGCGATAAAATGAATCTACTTCTTACAATAAGGATCGTTTCCAAAGTCGTTCCTTCAACAGTTATACTTCTCCGAGAGGCCCCAAATAGAGTGACACACGAAAACACCGGGATCTCTGTGTTACTCATATTGAGCAAAAAATAATACCTGCATGGAGGGCCCAGGCCCAACAAAGAGAAAATTACGGGCCCGGCCCAGTTTAAACAAAAAAAAAAAAACTACTTTTACGCGAATTAATTTTAATTAAATTTTTAGATTTATTATTTTTCTTTATTTATCAATGTGACAGTGAACATACGGCCTAAGGAAAAAAAGGCTAAAATTGAACCAGAGCAAATCGAGACATTTTGGCCTAAATTCTCAGACATTTTCAATCGAACAATTTTATTTAGGTAAATAGTATTCATTATTTCTTAATAATAGAAATACCTCGACACGCGAATACAGCAATTTAGGAAAATAAATCTTCCCACGCAGCGATTTCATAATGCTAAACAGCAAAATATCTCGCAAAAAATGAAAAATACAAGGTAAAGTCACTGCACCACGCCAAACGTCCAAGTTGAGCGTTCGGTGAATTTTCCTGCTTTCTTCATCCTGCATTCGTGATATCTGAGAGTGATACCACTATTCGGCCACGTGGGAGCTAGGGTTGCCTACACTCAAAATTGAAGGCAAACCGACAGTCAGGTAAAGTCACCGCCTCGCACAACACGTTCGGAGAATGATTCATGCTATTTTTCTTGAGCAATCGTGACTTCTGAAAATGATACCACTGTTCAGCCATGGTATACAGTTTTCAACACATTCCGTGGAATGTGCAACAGCCCTATTGCCAAGACTAGGGTGTTTACAAAACTTTCATTTTGAATTTTCCTGATATTTAAAAAAAATCCCATTTTTTTCGTGAATTAATCGATACTACCTACGTTGGTTTTACAAACCAACACACCTACTCATTTCATGTAATCAAATGCTTCACCTTTACACATCATAAACTCAACGTAGTTCAAAAATGCTTGACCCACTCGAAATTTCCTGATCCATGACCTATTTTCTTGATGAAATAAAAAATCCTGATAATTTTTCAGTCTTTACTCACTGAAACATCTTGTAAGTATGAATCTCAGGGGTGGATTTTTTTAATGTCAGCATTTGAGTAGATATATTTAATGTAGGAAATTCTGCGCAGCTCCAACCGCGCGCACTTTATAAATAGTCCCGGTGCAGAGGCAGCAACGGGCAGCGATCTCAGGAATCAGACCCCTGCGTTGGTCGCGGCGAAAAAAGTGCGAAAAATTAGAATGCGTCGACGGTACAGCTGTGCTGAGGAAGAACGCCGTATGAGTCTTCAGATGTTGCCAAATTTATTCTGATGAATTACGAATTTTCAAAGAGATCTATAAGTAATTATTTTCCCTCCAATTTTATACGGGGTTTTATTCGCAATCAGATCTAAATAAACTGAAAGTTTCAAGAGAGAACATCCATAATTCTCTTTTAAAAAAGGAAATTTTATCGGAGGAAATTTGGCATCTCTTAAATGATCATACGGCGTTTTTCCTTAGTGCGTGTGGCAGCGTATGGGAAGTGCGGAAAAAAATTGCGCGTCTAGCCGAGATCGATTTCTAGCCGTCGCTCAGTGGAACTAGTCGTCAATAGAAGTCGATCATGACATTTTCGACTAAAATTACAAATTATACGTTTTTCCCGTCACATTTTTAATTTTAAGGCGTTCTTCCTGAAGGAGATTCCACCCAAAAACTAATCAGGGTGTCTACTAAAACAGGCTGGTCAAAAATAACTACTTATGCAGTATACTTTTTTAGTACATTCTCGAGAGATTCAGTACCTCCCCCAACAGAAAAATTCCGTACTTTTTTAGTACCCCCATTTGACGAAATTCTATACATTTCAAAAATTTGAAATTGCGACAAAAATGACAAAATTCAAAAAATTCCGGACCTTTTTGCAGAATTTCCGCACTTTTCCGGTACTTCCGGACCGCCCTTTAAAAATCAGTACTACTTATTTTCGGACTTTCCGGAAATTCTGGACTTGTAGACAACCTGCTAATGGAAACATTTAAACGTTCTGCATTGACAAGGATACGGGCTTTTCAAATTTCCGCAGCCTGTCCGATTCCTCCAGTGATTCCCTCCGATGTGCGTCGGTGCCGGGTTTTTGCAAGTGGAGCTGTAGCCGGTGAGTTTTAAGTTGCATCTGGTAACTCCGTTTCTAGCCCGTTTGTCAGTTATGACGTGACGTAAAATATAGAGCGCGGTATTTCTGCGTAGCTCGCGTTGCAGCAAGATCGATGCGGAATCCATAGCGCGGTGCGTGACGTATGTACGCAGTCCGGCACGGAGTGTGAATATCTAGGCTCTGACTTTTTTTTACGGCCTTTCCTTCCTCTCACCACCGTGTACTGCGGACTGATTGTTGAAATTGATAGACAAAGCCATAGACAAAGAAGACACAAGGAGTATTGAGCGGTACTATTAGTTAAAATGGGTGGCTCCGTAGACTGAAGGAGAAAATGATGGACTCACAATATGGTCTCTTGTGCGTTGCCGTTAGTTAGCTCATTGCCTTCCGTCTTTGTCCATTGCAACTACCCGCTTTCACAAAAAGGATCCCCCCATATGCCTTTTGTCTTCCTTGTCAAATGCTTTGTCCATCAATTTCATTAAGCCTTCTGCTCGGCTCAGAAATAAATAATTTTAATATGGAATTTCAAAATGTTTGATTTATAAATGTTCCCAGGTTGTTCCTAAAACAGCTCTTTGGAGGCCTCATGAAGTCGTGAGGTTTACATTATGATAAAGGTAATTTAAGGCGATCCTTAGTACTACCAAACTAGGGAAAATGTCATATGAGCCTTCAGACGTTGCCAAATTTCCTTGGACTTACGGGTTTTTGACAAATTTGTGAATATTTTTCTTCTGATTTTTCAGAGAATTTTGTTCGTAATTTGATCCTAAGTTTTTGAGAATGTCAATAAAAAATATTTAGCTATGACTGTCTTTACAAATATTTTCCGAGACGAAATTGTTCAACAATTGAATGCTTACACGACGTTTTTTCTCACTACGGCAGATTACAGGACCATAAATAGGACGATTTTAATTAATCTCATTTTAAATTCAACAGAATAACTTCGGTAATGGATCAATTCAGAAAATACCAATCAATTCCTAACACAACATTTTGATAAACAGAAATACGGACGAAAAATTCGACTGATTTTGACCAAAAGATAGGCACACACCTTAGAATTGTCAAAGCCTGCAAAATGTTTTAGGTATTTGGTACTCATTCTTTTTTCGTTGAGAAATCAATACTATTTTTGAAATGATCTATTTCCGTCGCTATTCTATCCAGTTACACTCGAAATTAGTTGATAATAGTTAAGAGGGACAATTGAAAACATTTGTGCTAAAAGAAACTATATTTCATGCAAACCCTAGGCACACAGTTCCTTTTAGCATAAATACTCACGTCCAAAATTCACAAGCATTGGCCAAAATTCAGAAGAGTCACGGAAATGGCTACTTTGGCAATATCAATGAAAGTTTAACCACGGGAATACAGACCTACCTATTTACGGGATATCAATGATCTGTCCGTGGGCCTTGGAACAAAAAGTGAATTTAGGAAAAGAGGAAAAAATTTCATTGATGTAGAAAACTTTACGGTAAATACGGACCTATCTTAAAATTTGTCAGACCTGGAATTTTTACTCTTTCATGATTCGCACCTATTTTTGGCGGCGACAAATTATTGCAATCCGAATAAGGCATAAATAATTTCCATAATTATCATTTTTGAACTATAACCATTCAAACTTGTACACACGACTTTTTGACTTAGTACTAATCCGGACTGAATTTTTAGCTTAATTCTTGAAAAGAAGAAGAAAAGAGTCCTGGCTTAATTTTGGCACGTTGGATTTACTGGCCAATCCATTAGGAATAGTTTCTGAAATTCTTGGAGAGAGTCGAAAGCTGCAGGATCATTTTCTCGGATTTTCAGAATTCTGGCAAGAAAGGGAAAATCAAAATTCTAAAATCGCGTAAGTCAACTGCAACGTATCAAAATTTCAGCGCGAACGTCATTTTCCCTCATTTTTTTCCGTGCACTAAGCGCAGATATTTAAAAAAAAACAACAACAATTAGTAACGACAGAATAGAAATATCTGAGACTCATACGATACTTCCGAGCTGAAATTCCTTTAAAATTTTGAGTCCAAATCTTGGGTTGTGAATCATAGATAGAACAAATTAACATTCCGACTCAAATTATTTACGAACAAAATACTCATGAAACGACAGAGAAAAAGCAGTGACAATTTTAATGAAAACTAAGTGTTGATTTTTTTGAATTCTAAAAACATATGCATACGCTGGGAAATTTAGAAATGTTGCAATCAAGATACGCCGCGCCGGATACGCGGTTTAGCCGAACGTAAGCAAATACGGCTCAAACCCAAGCTCGTAATTCATCCATAGGTCAGAGCCGTTCGCCGTTCGTTATCCCCGCAAAAAAAAACTAGTCAAGAACCCGCGAATGAGCGAGTCACAAGTAAGAGATAAAGTACAAAAACGGCTGAAAGGGAAGCGGGAAAAAAAGGAAACCAGGCTGAAAAAGTATTTATAAAGCACGGCTACCTTATTAACGCATCCAGCCCGGCACTGCGCGGTGCGCAACGGGGATCCGAGATCTTCCTCGCTGACGGTGAGTCCGGCAGAAAAACACACCGAGATAAAAACGCACAGGAAAAAATTGCCCCGCGATAAATCACACGCCGCGGCCGCCATTTCGGAACCGGCTCATCGACTGGGAATTAAAACCGAATTAATTTAGCCCGAGAACCTGTTCTCTCGATCCCTCTAATTGATTCCCGATCACCACCATCGGGATGTCAATGCAATCGATGCATGTTGCCCGCTTTTAATTAATTTAGCACGCGGCGCCCCAAGTACTCGAAAAACACTGCAATTCAGAACGGAAACACCTGATACTCTCCCGTGAAAAATATCTTCCACTAAAATGCGATACGAATCACTGAACGCACTTATCGCAGTTGTTTACTTTGACGATTTTAAAATGATAACACTGGCTTCGGTTTATTTTGAATTTAAGATCACTTTATCAAGATTTGTTAAAGGACAAATATTGCTTCACTGTGTGGTTAGCTACAGCACGTATGTTATCCAATCACGTGTCGACACTTTCGGCGAAACGAAATTCCCGTTTAGTAGGTATCCAGGTTCGCACAAGTTATCACTATTTCCTTCCTCGAACGAACACAAGCTGCAAGACTGCGGCTGGATTTGAAAATTCGAACACTTTCAAGGAGGTTATATTAATCACGCGTTGATAAAGTTGTTTGCATTAAACGATGTTTTAAGGAATTGGTAGGGAGTCGATCACAATCGAAAAACTAGAAATGTGAGGGAATAAAACGCGGGAGATACAGAGAGCGTACGAACGCAGCCCTCTCGTGCAAGCGCCCGGCGAAAACTGATTGTTGATGTTGTTGAGTCGAGACGGGGGTCCCGAGTTGTTCCGGTGGTCGCCGCGGAGCGAGTGGAGCGCCACTGACTACGTTGCCTCGCGCATGGCCGAAGATGAATGAAAATCCGTACGTTTGCTCTGCCGTGTTACATAGGAAGTGAATAGTTACTCCAGAAATGAAGTTCGGAAAAATGGACCTAGAATTTCTTGCTTTATGTAGGTACTGTTTCCGCAAAATTCTCCATAATCCATAAGCTTAGTAGTTGTTCGATCGAATGCTTAAGCGTTGATAAAATTTACTTCAACTATACAGCCGTGTTAAGGGAAAACGCTGTATGAGCCGTCAGCCGTTGCCAAATTTCCATAAATAAAATACGAATTTCCAAAGAAACTGTCGGATTTTTTCCTTCAAAATTTTCAGCCAATTTTGTTCCCAATTTAATCTAAAATATCCAAACATTTCAAGGAAAAATATGCATAACTTTCCTGAAAAATACATTTTCTTCAGAGAAATTTGGCAACTTTTGAATGTTCATACGGTGTTCTTCTTTAACATGGAATTATAAGGAGAGGAATTATTGTTCTGAGTTAGGCAAGTCCTCCACATATTTTTGTGATTTCGTTTTTTTAGGAATGAAAAAAAAAATGAAAGGTGAGAAGTCGGCAGATAAAGGTGTCAATTCGCACAAGGCAGCTGAGGACACTGCTCTCTTGCGGGATAGCACCAGCTCTGTTTTTTCAGAAATGATCTTGATGCTGTAAAGTTTGGTCGTTAGTTTACTACTTTTGGTAGACGTGAAGGAAACTGATAAGGTAAACAAAGTAGGCAACCCTGTTTGTCCTTTTTTGAAGTTGAATCCATGCAAAATTTTCGTTAAAATAAGTTGTCTAAAAAAATAGCATCAGTATTTTGTTAGATTTTAAAAATCTTAAGGATTGCGTAGAGGAACAATAAATATCGATTATGCATCGAATTTGACGTGGAAATTAGTCTTTCAGAAAGGTTGGGCATGAAATGTTCGACTGAAACTGCAAATATTGGTATTAATTTCTTCACATTATTAATTGTTTAAGGTATTCCTCGAAGGGAATTTTACGGGAAAATTAATGAAACCCCCTGTGCAACCTCTATGTTCTGTCCTAACAGCGATATGGATTTTTAATGTTTCCACATCTCGCCTGTCTCTTTTCATCGATTCACTGAAGCTGAACTAAACGCGCTGGTGAGACGGTACTATCTGAATTCAAAACGCCTTCAATTTCGCGCGTATGCAACATGAACATCCTTGGAGCTCGAATAGTTGCATTTAGGCGTTATAATGAAATTCGTTTAGTATCCGCCTGACCAACTGAAGCTTTGATTGTTTTTTTACACCTTAGCTTATCGCCAACGTTACCTATTGTGCCGATGAAGTAAACCATTGCTGACTTCTGTTGCGACGGTGTCGATTTTTCGAGGGATGCATCATTAAAATGAGCTACAACATTGTCGTTCCTCAAAATTGCAAAAAATGAGACATTACAGCATGACGTTGCAGAGTTTCTTTCAACCTGCTGTAATGAGTCGTCTTCTGTTTGGATTTTTGTGTTTTTTTGTACCTTTCCAGAAAACTAATTTTGGCGCTTCAGAGCGATAGTTTTCAAAGATTAATACTAATGAATCGCACGGAATTTGGAACAAAAAAGATGACCACCCGTTTCTAGAAAAATTGATATGCGAGACAGGAAATCTGTAACATCACAAGCCTAAAGGTTTATGGACGGTGTAAGTCTGCAACTACATATCTCGCTTTGCGACATCGGAGACTTTCTGTCATATTATATTTTTTAAATGAAAAACCACTCAAAGACAATTCATATGAATTGCCGTGATTTTTCTTCTAAGTGCCAAAGTGTGCAAAAGAATTCTGCAAAAATTTCAAGGAATGATATCGATTTGTTTTTCTATAAATAATTAAAGTAAGAGTGGAGATTTTCAAACACCGCAAACGAGATACATGGTTGCGGACTGACGCCGTCGTTATGCTCTTCTAGTTGCAATGGTTTTTTTGTTGTTGTTGTTTTTTATTCGCCATCCAATAAGGTTATTACAGAATTAAAAATTTACATCAAAAGAAAATAGAACTATCACTAGAGAAAAAATAAATATAAATACAAAATGGTTAATCAATTATTGGGTGGCTGCCGGAATCACCGTTAGGCATAACATCAGCAGAGGTGCAATGGTGAAAATATTAATGTAGTCTGGAAAATATATTCGTGAAAATTATATTGAGCTCTATTCTTTCCCTCCTGAAATTATAGTCTTAATGTATTGTTTCACTTAGGCCTACGATGCGTGCGTTTTGTGATAGAGAATCAGATTAAATTCTGCGGCATAGCAGCGGTGTTCCCATCTCACTTTCTCCTCCACCATCCCCATTAGTCGACCTTTCTTTTCCGTTTGCTTGCGTTTATTCTCCGCAATTGGTATTAAAGCTCAATGCAGACTATCCTTGGCCTCGGCGTCTACTGTGTGCTTCCTTTTTCCTAATTTTACGCTTGGAATCACCCCGTGATTAGATTAGATTATACTGCGACGCTCTTAACCTCCTTATTACTCTTTCCACTCCTCCGGACTATCTAAACTGTGCATTTATCAGAGATTGAGGCGGAGGTTCTCGTCAAGAAAATGGGGGAAAATTTGAATGGAAGACTAAATTCTCGTAAAATTACTTTTTTTTCAAACAAACTGGTTGCATTTATTATTACTTCCAATTTATAAAGTAAATGCAATCTTTACAGTTTTTTCGAAATCCCATTCTCTTGGACGCTAATGCAGTTCATCCGTAATAACGAAAAAACCGTCGTTTTTCCGTTTATTCTCCTCAGTTGGACGACTGGACGTATTTATGCTAAAAGGAACTATGTCTCACGCAAATCCCTATGCACATAGTTCCTTTTAGCATAAATACGTTCAGTTGTTTGTTTTAGTTCGCTTCTGCTAGTTTTTCGGTTTTAGTTTTTTTAGTTTTTTTCGTGGTTTCAATTTGTGACTTGTCACCATGTGACCAACCCGGGGCATTACATCCATAAGTCTGGAGTAAAAACAACACACCTAATGATGGAGGATTCCTCCGAAATGGCCACCGTGGAAAATTCGTAATTTGAAGTAAGCCGACTACCAAGTGATGAGTGGTGATCGAGGGTAAGCTACTACATCTGTTTACTTCATTTCGAGTGTTTTTTGAATTTTTCCTTTATAAAAAGCCAACGAGTCGATTGTAGAACCGCTATCGAATGGCCTTTATCGATATATAGAATTGTGAAGATAAGGGAGTTATCGATCTCATCGCTCGTTAATCGATTATTCTCCGTAGGTTTAAAAGGCAGATCAATCGATATATCCCAAAGCACGCCACTTCACACGCTAGACCGAGTCATTAGGAAAAGTCGGACAAAGTCTGGAAACTTTGAAAACTTATATTTTTGAAAATATGGAGCCAAAATGTTTAAGAGTGGCTCCATTGGTTTTTTCGTGAAATTTTATCTCCGAAACTCCCCTTGAAATTGAATTTGTGATGAAATGAACATCAAAATTTGGAATTCTGAACACAAATCTCGTATCCGACTTTTTCTATTAGTTCGATCCACCGTGCGCCACCGGGTGCATCCTGCATCCCGTTTAAACGAAAGTTGAAAAAGGAAAACTGCGGCGTCGTGGACGCGTCTCGGATCAAATCGACGAGTTAAAACGCGGACGATAATCGTGGTCGAGGGATCTAATATCGGTAGCAGACAATTATTGTGCCCGAAAAGACAGGCACTCAGTATGCAAGGCACACGACTGGGACTTTTGCATCGGGGCGGGCAGCGCGGCTCGCCGCAGCCGCACCATGGATGGTCGGAGCTTGGGCCGCGCCATTAAAATTACAGCGAACGCTGAGCGATTGCACTTCGCTGGGGCCGGGATAAAAATCCTGGCCATGATCGACCTAAATATATCAGCTCGGGTAGTCGAGTCGCGGGTCTTTAACTAAGTGAATATTAACCGTGGCTCGTATTTGGAGCAGGTGCCATACTTCTTCCAATATATCTTCTTCGCTTTAAGCATAGGCTCAGGATTTATCGATTACGGATAATTCTAGGATTCCGCGGCTAGCCACCTTGTTGCCGACTCGCGGCTGAACTAGCTCGGGGAGTCCTTCTCACGCTTTGTCTCCATGGGACGTTTCATGGGACACTGGAAAAAAACACATTGGATCTAGAGTCCAGACTCTTGAAAACATCGATAAGTAAAAATACTGTTGATTCAATCAGATTTGAGCTTAAATCCAAAGGAAATCCGCTCAAATTAAGAGGCTTGGTTCTTGATTTAAACAAAAATCCGATTGAATCAAAAGCATTTTTTCTCGTCGATGTTTTTAAGAGTCTCGATTCTAGATCCAATGTGTTTTTTTTCCAGTGTATTTTTTCCAAGTTTGAATCGCAGTAATGAAACTTCTGGCCTTTTTCCCCGTTAAACAACACAAAAAAATGTCTTCTTCCTCTTTTCAAGTCGTTTCCTGAGACTCCGCAATGACATTTAGTTGACTTTGTGATTAGTATTGACTAACTCAATATTTTTTCGGACTTCGCAAGTGAGATTTTTCCCTGGGACACATCCCATGAAACGACCCGTGGAGACAAAACCTCAGAGAAGAGCTTCATTTGCTCCATCGGAATGTTCAACGAGTATTTCCCACACCCGTACTTCAGCTCTATTGGATCACGAAGCGGAGAAGTTATAGATGTCAAGGACAGCACGTGGCAAACATCGCGATGTATCGATTTATATGCCATTTAAACTTATGGTAAAGGATCGATATACTGGGTGTTGGCAACGAACACCTTGATAGTTGACTCTTCACCATAGCCTCAAATGGGAAAATATCAATAATCGATCATTCACGTCTCGGCACTGGTCTGGGAGGCATGTGCCTCTATCAAAATATCGTGCAAAATATGTCTAACATATCGAGAACTTCCAAAATTTAGTCT